AGCAGCAGGCTATAGCTCTTACAAAGAAGTGAATATTCTACATTTGCGGATTTGTTATATAATTAAACAGCTGAAATCTAGCACTGGTCAAATCGGTGTCAAATGGGTAACTTTCATTAATCCCAAAACATTTAACAATAGGAATTTCGCTGTTAGGCGTCACCAGTCAGCAGATGCTTTTCGATTTCTATAAAAGCGTCAAACGGATAGAGCGCTCGATCTTAATTAATCTCTCGTGTATGTATGGGACATGCTTTCGACTCCAATAACTATCGGATGCCTACCAATGCATTAGGCCAGAATTTTTATCCTCCAAGGAAGTACGCTGCACTATGTTCGGCGTGCCATTCAATAGGTTTGGCGCCTCGGTTTGAACTCCCCCAGTACCTGTTAAATCTCTTATCTCTCCATACTCTGGACTACTAGACTTTTTTTCCGAAAAACTCTTTTCTTCGCAAAAAGCAGTGGAATGTTGGTGGAAATGAACTTTGGTTTGCCACCATGGCTATCTCAGGGATTCACAGCGGATCCATGCAATCTGCACTCAACAACGTTCACCAAGAGAGCCAGAGATCCTCACGTAACAGCTGAACCCGTTCGATGTGCGAGAATGTTCATGATGTACGCGAGGAAACGAATCCAGAGCGAAAACTGCTGAGATCCGCGCAACATGTGATACCAAGTCATGAGGAAAAAAAGAATTCCTATCGCAATTTATCACTGCCTGGAAAAAAGTGATGGCGCATACTCGGTTGGTCTTCCTGTGCAGAGAGTGTCATAGTGCCGTTACCAACTTCTTTCTTGCTCTAGCTATTTTCATTTGTGGTGGCGGTCTGTTTTGAATATTGAGACGTGTACGAGTGCCATTCCTTCGTCTATAAAACACTTGCAGTGGTAAAAATAGTCGATGTTTGCTTCAGACGTGTAACACCACTTTATAGGTGAGTCGGGAAAAGTCGTGTAAGGTCCATTAAACTGTTCTTTTTAATCGCTTGTTTAGAAATGTTCTTCTTATATTAGTGATTCTTCATTGTTTCCACTTCCATGTGTATCTACCCGCATCTTCTATTAGGGATAATTATCGAATTTTGACCCGTGTGGCATGCGATAGCGTCGTTGGTCAGAGGATATCGTCTAAGCGCTCCCTGGATTTCGCGCGATTTCGACATAGTTAAGGCATCAATTTACATCTTACCAAATAGTGGATTTCTAGAAAAGCTCATTATTAAAAAAGTAGAATGGAAGGTTTGGTTCCTTACTTAATTGGTAGCTTACAAGAGATCCACGATATAACCCATGTTAGATCCACGATATAGCCCATGTTGCTTCCCTATATCTGAAAAACCCTCCTCCGCCTCATTTTCCATGTCCAGTGAACAGTTTAGATTCATGTAGAATGTGGGCAGTTACCAAAGAACCATTCATCTCATGTGTTGAAGAAGTTGGCTTTATTCTGATTTATTCGCAATTCCGTTCACTTCTTTATTTCCTTTCGTTAATTGAGTACCGTATCCGATTCTCTGGTGCACTTTGCAAATAATGGCGATGGCCTCGACAACGCGAGTGTTTGATATAAAATTACCATCAAAGAGGCGTATGCTCACTTCGTCCTAGTAGAGCGAATTTATTGTCAACTGCGTTATGACAATGAAGAGCTTCATCAGGGTGGTATCGCTCTATTGGGTCACTTCTAGATTGGAAATGAGCTGGTGGATAGACTGCACTTTTGTGGTCTAGCAGTTCAGCAGAATTTTTACGTATTACGGAAGTACACCTCAATCATGAGAATTATTTCAGTGGCATTTGCTTCTACGCGAAGCCACATTTTCTCACTAGACTAAGGTCAGGCGATTCGTAGCTGATAATTCCAACGGTACTCTACTGTTCGGAAAGCAAAATCTTGGTTCAAATCATATTTACTTTCCATCTATCTTTTTTCGACGTGCTTAGCAGGGCTATCTTCGTGAGCAATTTCTGGTTCAAATTGACCAGCAACTTGACCAGTCATCTTTCAGTTATTTTTGCAACCATTCATCCTAGAAACTGACCACGCCTAAAATTCTTTATAGATCCTATCCTTTTAGAAATATGTTTTACTACGATTTGCAAGAAGTGCGCGTTTTTTCTTCCAGATCAAAAGAGTGAGCTAATGATTTTATTTGGAAGGGGCGCCATCGGAATTTGGAAGCTATATGTCCTTAAAGCTCCCCATGCCACGCCGACCTCGAAATTTGCACGTTTCGTATCGAAGCTAGAGAAGAGTTATGAATTCACTTCTTGATTAATTCTTCACGCTGTTGCTTTGTCATTTGTGTGCTACTAAAAAAATGCAATGTCTTTTATCCTCTGTTAGTGGATTTAGCCTTCATATTCTTATTCCCGCTACGAATAAAAAAGCACTTCTGCAGCATTAATTATCAATAGTTTTCACAAATTGATAGGTATTTTGGTTTTTGATGGGGAGGACAGCACAGTGGTAGCAATGTTCGTCATCACGTGGGCGGTGGTAGTTCAATTCCACTCAGTCCAACCTAGTCTCTCATCCCTCAGTAAACTGGTAGCGGACTTGTCTGAGAGAAAAAACACTCCCTGCAATCCAACTGAGAACGCTCCAGTCCGACTATCTCAGGAGTCCAGAAGAATTGCTCGACCAGCATTCTACAACATTCAAGATGAAATGAAAATCCTTAAACAGCAACCCGAGCCACACGCAAAGTTGTAAGATTTTCGTGGAGATTGGTTGCAAAGAAACGAATCAAATGCGAGAAGTGTTAGGATCCGCACGGCTGACGTGAAGATGGGTCACATAAAACAGAATAAAAAAAATTTGCTTTTTAGTGTTTACACAATGTCAGCCGTTAGTCCTCACTTTTTTCAGTGCAGTGACATTCTTCTTGGTGGTTTCAGTTTGAAATCCCGATAGAGATCTTCTGCAGTTGTTTTGCTTCCGCTCGAATTTTTGATGCTCTGCTTTCCGAAAAGGGTATAACACCTTTAAGGTGCACTCATAAGGGCTCTTGTGGCGCAGTGGTTGGAGGCGCCACTGCGACACACACGTGGAATTGATCCCCACACCCCTGGCCCACCTAGCTTTCCATCCGTCCGAGGTCGGCAAATTGGTACCAGATTTGTCTGGGAAGATAGCACAGTGCTCGATACGTCGGTAGGCCACCGGGAGTCATAGTAAAGGCCAGATATGCATTCAGTCACCTGCAACAATATTTGATGAAGTTGAATGCATGGCGCAACCCTCAGAAATTGATCAACGCTGAGAGCTTTTTATCCTTTTAAAGCGCACTCATATGCAGTCAAGCATAAAAAATAATGAAAACATTGGTAGGAATTCATGTAACAAGCCCAACATAGTGTGAAACTTTTTGTTTTCGTTTAGTGAAGGTTTCTCCGAACAATATTATCTACCGTATACAAACAAGTATTAAAGCGTGACAACTGCAGAAGAAAGGCACATCATCCTTTTTCTTGTTTCCATTCATCTTTTCTATACGCTCTGTCATTTCGTTACTCTCATAACCTCGCTTATTAGGACTAGAAGAGATTTAGTAGTAACAACCATGTACTTTTTCTAAATGAAATAAATGTCTGTAAAAGAAAAAGACTTGTTTGCTTTTCACCATTTGACGTATTCGCAAACATTTAATTTTTTTTTTTTTTGGGCAATCAGTCACGAAGATTACCCTTTTCAGCAATCAACATTTATTTGTGCAGTCATGTCGGGATCCTGCTGGGACGAGATCCCAGTTGTTCAATATCTTTAGTGCTCAAAATAAGGCTAGAAATGCCAGAAGGAAAAAGAAGACCACCGATTGGTGCTTTTGGTTCAATAAATTCAGAATTCAGTACAGAAATAGAAAAGGAAACTTGTATGTGGTCTGCAAAGCTTAGCAGATTCTATTAGTTCGTGGGCCCACTAGAAGCTACGATATTTTCGAACAGGGGAAGGCGCAATACATTAATCTATTTCGACGTATAGGGCTCTAAAATAGCGGTCGCTTTAAACTTTAAGCAACAGTTTAAGACCTTGTAATAAGCCTTATTAAGGTAGCTGGGAAAACAGTGGAATCTTCCGATTTTCCTTTACAAGGCATGAATTCTCCCATCCCATCATAAAGAAGTTATAATTTCCTGTCGCATCAGTGGCTTTACCACTTTCCTTCACGAATGGTGAAAAGCGTAAAATTTCAGAATTTTTCTTCACTTTTTTGAAACACCCAATTCTAAGCAGCTCTAATAATTAAGTAGCGCTGTAAGCCAAGTATGCATACACTGGATCGTGTTTAGTGCAATAATGTGTTGTTCTCTGCAGTATTAAAGGGATCAACCACCGATTCGATCCTCTAGCTCGGGCTCAACAAGCCTTTCATTCCTCTAGGATCTTCCAAGTGGTAACAGACTAATCTGCAAGATAGCAACCCGATACAACGATGTGCCACCGAAAATTATTGTAGAGGTTAGATATCTATTCAATCAGATGGATGATAGTTAGTGTACTGGAATGCATGGCACAATCCTCATGGATTGTAGAACGTCGTACTTTTATATTTATATTTAACTTTTATATTACATTAAGTGGTTAGGAGTTAAGTTATTTTTGATTTTAAGCACATGCGAGGCGCCACGTCTCACCCGGGAATTCATAATTTAATTGACGTAGAAACGGACTTATGAAAAGGGAAATGTATCAAAAAAAAGTTTTCTCTACGATGACAGCACGTTACTCCATAATATTTTACGTTATCGCAAAGGAAAATTTGGGGAAAGACCATTATTGGCGCGCCAAACGTCGAAAAACAAAATAAGGAAGCTGATTAGGGGTGTGGTCAGGAACGCATCATACACTTTCGCCGTTTGCCTCCCGATATGAATTGAATGAAAGGAAAAAGGAAACGTCGATTAGACAATGTTTTCATAGATAACTGGTAGCACCTGTAGTAGGGAACTCTCAAATCCTATTCACTATCAATCAAACTCGGCCTTTCTCTCCACCTCTTCTTCTCCACCGTTTCGTTGATCTCCATTTTTTCATACATTTAAGCCTTCATGAGTTTCTATCTGTAGTATATGAGCTCATCACATTCGTATCCTCTCTCTTACCATACGCATTTTCAATGAGCGATACCTGTTTGCTTTTCTACTGAATTTGCTATTTTCGCATTGATGAATTCCGTCGTCTTAGCAATATGTCAACAAAAACGATTTTTTCGTGAAATTAAAATTCTTCTATAGATTTTTGTGGAAAAGTTGCAATCGTACTGTGACCCTAAAATGAGATGAGCGTCGATGTTCCAGTACAACTGCTGGGCAAAATTTTTGATGCTGGTAGTAAATGATTCATATCACTAGCAGTATACTTCACATTTGAACAAACTCGAAGCGTGTCCTTTTCCTATCCATCCTCATTCATCACATCCATAAGATCGAAATATTATGTATTTCGACCATCTATTTGTCGACATTCGTTTCAGGACCAACGTCTACGCCTACATGTACAAAACTGTCTTGGTAGGCTCGATTGTATTCGTCGTGGCAGGAATGTTGCTTACTGTATTCAGTTTGTTCAGTCCTACATGGCAGGCACGTTATGATTGTATTTCCTAAAATTATCCAACCACTGCGGCGTTACTGCTTCATGTTCAACAAAAGGACAGGAGTCTTTATTGATGATCACATTGTTAGGAAAACACATTCTACTCCACTCGTAGTGTCGTGCATGTCTCACCTATGCAGCGATTTTTGGAGAGTAGATTGAAGAGACTAGATACACGAAGTTAGTGTTTTTGTGCTCCCAGGTTAGTCTGACATCAACCATAGAAATGTGAGAAATGAGCAAAACTCGAAGTCTCACATAGGCTTCCAACTCCCGATTATCCTCATCGGGTGTCGCATGCTACCAATCATGGAAAAAAAACAAAAGTAAAGAAAAAAGCATAGCTAAAAAAAAGGCAAAGCAAAGTCTTACCTTGGTGACGTGGATAGCACGTTAGACTCCTGTAAGGATAACCACATGTTCAAATTTCAACTGAAGTTCTGAGTTTTTCCTTTATCTCAGCATCTCTATAATTGTATTTCTCATCGTACCCTTCCATGAAAAAAACAGTACGCAGCAAATACAGTTAAAACATATTCGAGCAAAATTTAAGCTTTATTCAGATAACCAGAAAACCGAAAACGGCCGAAATTCATCATCATGGTCTTTGGTGGGATTGTATAGTCTCAGATGGCACACTTATTCCACTCGACTGGGAAAAGTTTTCTCAACAAAGCAGTAATTTTTCTCCACCTTCTTCATGTTTTACAAAAAAACCATTAGCAAACTATTAATTCATCAATTAAAGGATTTTATGCAAAGATTTTACATGAATTACTTAACTGCCGTTAACTTCGGAAGAATGCACAACGGAAAACGCCGTACTGTTTTTACAATGGTCCGCAAGTGTGTGATTGCTCACAAATTCACGCCTGAATAAAGGGTTAAACGCCCTGCCGAGCGAATGCCGGGTGATGTTGTTGCTGAGTCAAGAACGTTACTGGTGTAAGCCATTCTGGCACAACCCAATTCTGACTAAAATCAGTCGTATCCCTTACAAAACGATCAACGGGCGAAGATCGCATGCTTCCTACCTACTTCAAGTTTTTATCTTTGTCGAATACGTTTCAATACATTTGACCCTTCCGGGATCGCTACCATTTTCGGGTGTCAGGCTCGTCACCCCGTCTGTCGGGTTCGTCGCACCGCGTGTCTTTGGAGCGCAGTGGAACGTTCATTGAAATCAAAATCTACGGCCCGTGCAATCGCACAAAAAGTACGACGCACTGGTTTTTGAGATTGCCGTTCTATAGTTCGATTCACTCATAATTTTTCTGCATCTCCTTAGCTTCTGCATATTCACTATGTTTTTCTCTGTATGCTACCATGTTCATCGACACCTCTTTTATGTGGTCTAACTCTTGAGTGTGACGAAAAAAAAACTCGTCCATTATCTAACCATGGTGTTACTAGCCTTCCGCATGGTTTTCTATGAGAGCTGAAGTGTATTTCTGCTTCTCTTTTATGCTTTTTTATATCCACCGATTCTATTCTGCCCTCTGAAACAGCTTCTTGAAAGTAGACCTGAGAATACCACCATGAATCTGTCCTGGTATAAAATCTATGCAAGAAAAGCCTTCGATTGACTATGGATCGTGAAGATGTTATAAGATGAAAAAGTAAGGTATCTACGAGAAAATCTCAAAAGGAAGCAGTTTTGGCCAAGCCTGTGCATCCAAATGGTTGTTAGAATATAAAAGTTTCAGCACTTTCACGAGTTCTACCATTTTCGCGTGGCTGGCCCATCGAAGGGCGTGTTACTGGAGCGTAATTGAGATGCGCATTGAAACCATTACACATGGTCCGAAACGTACGTACAAGGTCGTGAAAGGGATAATAGGTGTTGAAGTTTTTATCACGCTTAAAGAAGACGTTCCTTTATTTCTAGTTCCCGGAAACGACAAATTCGTTCTTCTTTGGTGAAATGCTCGCGAACTACAGATTCGATCGGTCTTCCATGAAGTCTTCCTTGTCTCGTGCTTAAATTGTTCACTAAGTCCAACTCTATCGACGCATAGACCAGTACATTTCTACTCGAATATTCGTGAAGAACCCGCGACCGACTTTCTATAAACCACGGCACTGGTCAAATAACTCAGACGACCGACTTTCCATTAATCTCGGCATTGATCAAGTAATTCTTCGTATTTTTGTTGAGCAAACGCGTGTTATTATTCTTTATTCACGAATAAGCTGGCATTTCGGCTGATTTCGCCTTCCTCAGAGGATGGAAAGGTGAAGTTGACAGCAAACTATCAAACCAAACACCTTTATAACCAAATAGAGAAAACGCTAAAGCAAGATTTCAACCACATTTAACGCAGCTATGCACATTCACCGCTTTCTATGAATCTTCCGCTGAGTATGGTGTGAAGACCAACCGCACAGAATTCACATGGAAGCGTAATGCGCCCTCCCATCACAATAACAGGTTTGTATACTGTCCAATATCACGCATGATAATAAGGCAATCTTCCCTGCATTTCATTTCCGGTTTTCTGGAATTAATCCAGAACGCCTCGAGAGTTTTGCGCGCTTGTGTTCTCGATTCCAGTGCGAGGATCGTGACCAGTACTTCAAAGTCCTCCCCGTTATGTCTCTGGGTCCTACGCTTGCCTAGTGGAATATTCGGTTTAGGTTTACCGACAGGTGTTCTTTTATGCAGACATAGAGTGGCCTACCCGTTTCGCCAATGTGTTCGCCTCTGCATGCCTTACAGGAGATCAGCCAAATTGCACCCGAACTCATGCAATCACCGTCTCTACCGTTGGGGAAATTTATGCAATTTTTCGTTATACAGAGACGGTCATAGAGACGGTTGCAAATTAGCTGGCGTCTTAGAATACTCGGTGGCATTTCAACTACGCTCACCGAATTCTCTACACCCGCCCTTATTAAGCAGCGTTTTATAGCTGCACTTACAACATTTGAGATGCAGGGTAGGATAAACGGAACCTTTTTATCGCTAGTGTTGTCGTTTGGGAACCTAGGATTTTTCCTACACCTATCCCGAGCTACAGTTTCGTAGCCACCCCGACGTTCTTTAGACAACAAGAGCCCAATAATGAAGTTGATGTTAATTTTCGGATGTTTATGAATGAAACTCTCAAAGTCCTTAATCACTATCGCGCGAAAAGATACAGTTCAAACCTCACTCCAGTGCAAAAACGTGGTATGGGAGAGGTACGAGAGCTGATGAGGTTGAAAACCATAAGACTATCCGTTAGTGATAAGGATGGAGAGTTTGTCGTAATTCCTCATCAGTTAGATATGGAGATAACGAAAGCATCTTGAGGATGCTTCGCTTTATCGCCCATCATCTGAGAAGGAATTTAAAAGAAAATACCGAAAATTGAACCACGAATGGGCCAAAATGGCAAGGGCTGCTGGTTTAAAACCATCAGTTATTCCTCAACTAAAAGTTGACTTACCAACATGCCCCGTCTTGTACTTATAAAAACTCATAAGTTAGTATCCAGCGCGGTGATCTTGCGTCTACCGATCCATCACTATTTAAGGTTAGACCTATCATTAGCTGCGTAGACGGGCCAACGGACAGGATAACATGGTTTTTAACCCTAATATTTAACCAGCTGTTGAAACACATTCCAGCCTATCTTACGAATACCCAGATGTTTCTGGATCGTCTACGTACTGCGCAGCCCAACAGCGCGTGGGTGATGGAGTCCTTCGACGTTACCGCCCTTTATACAAACGTGTCGAATGACTCCGCAATGCAAGCCGTACTCGAACTCCTTATGCAACACGAAGGAGAAATAAATATGTATGGCTTCAAGATAAAGCAGTTGATGGCACTCTTAAAAAAATGCTTGAGCTGCTCAATCTTCAGATGGTCTGAAAAGTACTACGCTCAAATAAGAGGGTTGGCCATAGGACAACGACTGGCTCCAAGCCTTGCCATTGCATTTATGTCTAAGGTGGAAGCACCGGTAACTGATCTCGGGCCGCTACTCTACTATAGATGTGTAGACGGCTGCTTTGTCCTTTGCTCAACACAAGAGGCAATGGACAAATGTTTCGAGTTGTTAAATGAACAGTCAGAGTATATCAAGTTCACCCGAGAAAAGCCGAAAGAAAAATGGCTTCCATTCCTGAACGTACAAATTCGCCTGTCAGAAAATGGCTACATTACAAGGTGGTACCGAAAGCCAAGTAGTAAAAACATCTTGGTTCATTACCTCTCCTCTCACCCCTCTCACACGAAAAGGGCGCTTATAAGAAACATGTTTCGAACAGCAACCAACGTGTGCACGGGAAGAGAGCAGAGAGAGGAGTCCCGGAACTTGGCACGGCAAATAGCCATTTCTAATGGCTACGAAACTGTAGCTTAAGATAGGTGTAGGAAAAATCCTAGGTTCCCAAACGACAACACTAGCGATGAAAAGGTTCCGTTTATCCTACCCTTCATCTCAAATGATATAAGTACAGCTATAAAACGCTGCTTAAGAAGGGCGGGTGTAGAGAATTCGGTGAGCGTAGTTGAAATGCCACCGAGTATTCTAAGACGCCAGCTAATTTGCAACCGTCTCTATGACCGTCTCTGTATAACGAAAAATTGCATAAATTTCCCCAACGGTAGAGACGGTGATTGCATGAGTTCGGGTGCAATTTGGCTGATCTCCTGTAAGGCATGCAGAGGCGAACACATTGGCGAAACGGGTAGGCCACTCTATGTCTGCATAAAAGAACACCTGTCGGTAAACCTAAACCAAATATTCCACTAGGCAAGCGTAGGACCCAGAGACATAACGGGGAGGACTTTGAAGTACTGGTCACGATCCTCGCACTGGAATCGAGAACACAAGCGCGCAAAACTCTCGAGGCGTTCTGGATTAATTCCAGAAAACCGGAAATGAAATGCAGGGAAGATTGCCTTATTATCATGCGTGATATTGGACAGTATACAAACCTGTTATTCTGATGGGAGGGCGCATTACGCTTCCATGTGAATTCTGTGCGGTTGGTCTTCACACCATACTCAGCGGAAGATTCATAGAAAGCGGTGAATGTGCATAGCTGCGTTAAATGTGGTTGAAATCTTGCTTTAGCGTTTTCTCTATTTGGCTATAAAGGTGTTTGGTTTGATAGTTTGTTGTCAACTTGACCTTTCCATCCTCTGAGGAAGGCGAAATCAGCCGAACCGTCAGCTTTAACGGAATAAAGAATAGAGTAACACCTCGTATTTGCTCAACAAGAATATCGGGAACTATTCGTGAAGAAGTCCAGCTCTCGACGCTATGCTCAGCCCTTTGTGCGCTTAATACGAACTTTCCGAGATATATTGTATACTGCACTAGTATGGTGTGTGAGTAGCAAAGTGGACGATGTGCATTGCATACTAGACAGTTCGTCATCTGTGTTCTCTTTTGCTTTACACCATACTCAATCGACGACTCGTCCAATACAGATGTTAGCCAATTCGTATAGCCAGCGAAAAGCTATTCTCGACACTTAATGGTTTGCAAAAGAAACCTTTTATTGGATGAGTTCCTCTTGCGGAAGGAAGACTATTGCTACTGTAGAGAGTTCTCACCATAGAAAGCGCAACCGGTAAAGAGGCACAGAAATACCTCTGCTTGAGCACTAAATTCGGCATTTAGGAAGAATCGTTACTGAGATTTCTTCAGAATTGTTCGTTGCTTACGGATTATGGTTTGATTGGAATTTAGGACATCGCAGCAGTCTACTGATGGTACAAACAATGTTCTGAAGCACATTTATTTTGCAATTCGATGTTTTACAGCATTTTGTATTATTTCGCAATATGTTGCAAAGAAAACGCTTACTTACGACTGTGTGGTCTTTTCGGCTCCTGGGATTTCCTAGTTATCAAAAATTTATCGTTTCCTACCAAAAACTAGGGTTGTTCGTTATTTGCAGTGCTTTAATCCAGACGAGTTTCACTGTTTCTGCACTCGTCATGAAATTACGCTTGGTCCTAAATGGTAGCACGCAAATTGATTAGAGGTCGGTACGTGTTAACATGTATGTTATCTCTTGGGATCCAGTCACAGGCGGCTCGTATGTATCAATTATCGTGGCTTATACCACAACATTTCTGAGTTTCCATCTTCAACGCAGATGATAAGTGAATAATTCTCTTCTTTCAACAACGGATTTTAATTCCAACGAAGGAAATTGTCTTAGAACTTCGAATTAGTCTGGTTGGAAACGCTGTTCGCTATATCTTACGTTGACTACGCTACGTCTAGCTCTCTTAGGCATAGTCAGAAGAAGAAGAATAAGACAACAACAACGACAAAAACAGCAACAGCAACAACAACAACAGCAACAACAGCAGCAGGAAAAACAACAATGAAATCGAAAAAGTAGGAGCGGAGTTAGTTGTCCTTTCTCTTCTTTGTTATATAACGAAGTCTGCTTGCAATCGAGTTAGAAAAAGAAACTATGAACGGTACGACTGACCTCCATAACAGCCGGTGATTAGAAAGAATTCTTAACACTCACAAATTATAAAAAATCAACCCATTCTTTACTGCACATCTTTAGCACGTATATTATTCTTCTAGGTCCAATAAAGTGGAAAAGTCGGCGCACTAAAAAGTTCGAATCCCTTTCTACTTCAGCTAGTTTCCCTTCGATTCCATCTCTACTAACTTTGCTGCTGCAACTCTTTCGTTCCCGTGATCCTTTTGTAAATTTTTGTTTGCATGACCCGTCTTCATGTTCACTGCGCGGATCCTAGCACTTTTCACATTCGATTCGTTTCTTCGCATCCATTGTCCTCGAAGATCTTCCAACTTTACGTGTGGCTTCGGTTGATGCTAAAGGATTTTCATTTTATTTTAAATGTCGTAGAATGCTGGTGGAGCAATTCTCCCTGGAGTCCTAAGGTAGCCGGGCTGGAGCGTTCCCAATTGGATTGCAGAGAGCGAGTTTTCTCAAACAAGTTCTATACTTTTAAAAGGATCTGTAAAAGGATACAGATCCTTTTATAAATAGGTATTGAAATAATTAAAAGCATGCAATATTTTGTGTCGACTATTAAATCGTGCAATATCGTAAAAGAAATAAGGGAATACTAGGCAATGAATAGGATTTGATTAAGTTTTTTGCTGATTTTTACGCTAAAGGATACATAAATCTAATCTACCGATGAAAATGTCTGATTGACTTAACATGGCGAGAAGAAAGTGCGCCTTTTCGAATACTAATACTTCTAAATACTAAATAGGTTAAAAATCTAGGTGAGAAGTGCGTAAGTAAATTCAATCCCGCGGTACATTCTCAGCTAAAGACTGTTTTGGAAAACGGTGACGCGTTCTCTAAAGAGCTCCTCTCTCATCGATTTCTTCGTGAGTCTTCGACTTTTTTCTTTATTTTTTTTTTACAAGCTTATTATGAGAAGACGATGAAGATGATAATGAGTAGCTTCTGTTTGTCATGATCTAGTTCACATATGGAATTGGTCTTGAGATAGACAGGATTCGGAGATTTTTCCTAATCAGAAATCCTAGATAAGTGTAGAACATCCTTTTCTGGATCCTTGAATAGCCATCCGTCATATTATTACAGAATCAGATGGAATGATGAATTACTACGCTACATTACTAAGTTAAATAAAGATCAATAACCTTCACACCTAATGCTGTAAGTATAAGCATGAAAAAGTAACAGAGGAAAGTGAACCTGAAGTTGCTGGTGAATTAGATTCGTTACGGAGGAACTCGTTAACCAAATAAGTATAGTGAAGGACATCGAGAATATTGGAGGCAGTATAGAGAGAAGTTGTTCAAGCGAATTTGAGAAAATTAACCGAGTCTTTTAAAAGAATAGAAAGGTTAATGTGCTTGATGTTTCTCAGCCCATGAGAAATGCATCATGGATTCGATATATTCAAGCATCGGTATAGGTGGTTGAGTGCATATTTGTACAATACTATAACATGCAGTAGCCCACCGATGTTTCGAGTCAGTGCTGCTATCTTTCAAAGCAAGTGCGATGTCAATTTTCCGACTTCCGAATGATGAAAGACTTGCCCAGCTCAGGGTAGGGTAAAGAGCCAGTTGCCGACGAAGTATGCCTTTGTAGTGCACTACTAAATGTGCAACAAGCGCCCACCGGTGTCTTGACGCACTGCTCATCGTGATGCCACTTGCACGGCGTGAAGACAAGATTTCTACCATTACCAGTGAAGGATTTGTGGCGGTGAAGTTTTATTACGCCTACTCTTTTGCACAGAAACTCTTCTGCTTTCACGTTTTTTGTAGTCGTACCGAGTGGTATCCAGTAGAGTAGAGCATTACTCGAATTACCTAGCATTTACTGCATGAATATGCTGTGATATGCACACCCCACCTCAATTTAATGAAGTCCAAAACACCATACTGGCAGGGAGAACTGCTTCTCACCTTATGACAACTGCGCGAAGGTCCTTAGCAACCTTGGAAAACCCGAATACTTTGGAGAACAACTTTCATTAACCTAGGAATGGGTGAGCAATATCCTAGTTTATTGATCAGGGTACATCCACCAGCACTATATAAAGTCGCATGCAATCATTGCACTTTAAGGTTCAATCACCACTCAGTTACACGAAAAATTCTGCAGTCACTGTTCGATGTACTGTAGCACAAGCTCTTACGGTCATCGGTCCAGTACCTATACCCAGACTAATTCATTGTCGATGACTATCAAGTGAATATGCCCTGAAGTTGTCTCGGAAAAACAAGTAATCACAACTATTAACCATCAGCACCCTGCATAAAATGACATCACCGAGTGAGTGTGCCTCATTCGAGAGATGGTCCGCTGAGGAAGACACAACTCGATACGAAGGCGAAGACACCACATCGACACAAAAAGGAACCGTGGACTACCGACTCGGATCGTCGGCTCTGATGAAGACGAAGGCGTCGAAATGTTAGCCGAATAAAAATTGTTTATCAACCTCGTGTAAGCTTGCGAAAAAATGAATGTGTGCTCTAAACTGTTTAACCAACAATCTGGTCAAGGGATTCTGCAGGCCGTGATTACACATTAACTGCCCCAGTTAGTTTACACATGGAACAGCTAAATGGTGTAAGGCGTCGTTGGATTTGGTCAATTCAGTTATTTTTGAGGTTTATCAATGAACTCCGACGATACCCGTATGCTTAATAAAGGATTGAGATGGATTTTCATAGATCTTCGAAATTTTAGTTAAATAATGAGGTACGTTAATCCATGAGAAGCAAATAATGTGAAGAAGAGAACAAGAAGATAGGAGAAACTAAAATAGCGGTTACTATTTGCTCCAGTCATTTAATGTGGAAAATAACTTGGACAATCTGTATTTAAATTGTTGAACCTACGCAAGGTTGATAAATTTGTTTATTTCGGCTAACGCTTCGACATCTTCGTCCTCATCAGAGCCGATGGTCCGTGTCGGGGGTCCACAGTTGACATCGAGATAACGAACAACTGTGCACCACCGACACGGATAATTGGCTCTGATAAAAACGACGTCGAAGCGTTAGCCGAAATAAACAAATTTATCAGCCTTGCGTAGGCTCAACAATTTAAATAAATGTTGATTATTTTGCTACCGAGGTTAAATGACGGTCAGTTTGATAACTTGGATGTCTGATCTGATCGCTGGAGTAACAGAAACAGCCTTGTTGTCTTTTTATGCGAGCTGAGTGGGGTATTCTACTTAGTCGGCGCGAGCAATTATCAACTGAAATATAACAATGGACTAGATAACAAGTCAGATTGAAGACGCATAAACAGAATGAATGGAGGATAAAAGTAGCTTAAGGAAAAGGTGCTGACATCACCGAGAATGGCTGCACTCTGTTGATCCCATGTAGTCACAAATGAAGCTGAGCACAGTGTTTGTGTTCGACATCACGAATTTCCACATTGGCTAAACAGCTGCGCCGCCGATGAAAGTTACTAGAAAAGCAAACTAATGCAGAAGGAAATAAGCGTCCCTATGGTTGTTGTAGAGGGGTCATGTAAAAGTGGGTGTAGCCACCAGTAATTCTGCAAAAAAAATAAAACGAGCAGTATATTCCTTGAAACTCCACGTTTTCCCAAGCTTATTGAAGACATTTGGTATGCAAATAATTACATTTCTATAGAAAAGTTCACAATTTCAGCTCATCACAAATCTGTGATATTTTTCTCCACGTTCACGTTAGTATTTGGAGCGATCGGCCTCATAACGGGTGCGTGTTCACCGTGTTTTCCGCTGAATTCGTTGCTTTACGTGATCTCATTATTTATGACAGGTATGTTGCTACCTTACTTACTTGGATACTTAAAGGGTCTGTCTTCACGAGCTGTGTGGACCCAGCACACATGCCATTCGTTCCTTTCTCTCACAATCGCAGTTCTGCAAAAAAAATAAAACGAGCAGTTGCTACCTAAGAACAGTTACTCTCATCGGCTTTTAAAATGAGGTCTAATTCGAGCTTAAAATCAAACAGAATCGAACTGAAAACCCACGTCGAAGTTTTGGAGCATGACGTGATAACGAAGGAAACTACTAGATTTTTAGCCTAAGTTTTGCTGAAGGGCGCCTGTGGTGCTGTAGTCGGAGGCGCCTTGCAACACACAAGTGAACTCGATCACCGCGCTCTTGGCTCACCAAGCCTTCCATCTCTCCGGGCTCGGCAAATTGGTACTGGACCTTTCTGAGAACTGGCTCGATGCATCGGTTGGTCACCGCGAGTCATTGTAAAGGCTAGATATGCATTCAATCACGTCCAAGGGATGCTTAATAAAGTTTAATGCATGGCGAATCCCTCAAAGATTGATCAACGCCGAGAGCTTTATCCTTTTTTTTAAGCTTCCGTAGACATCAACGAAGGAAATCTTTCTGAACCAGCGATCTGTCAGTCAAACAAAGAATGACTTGAAGCCTTTTTTCTAGTTTACAAACTATGGAAGAGCGACTATGATTAACAAGATGTAGAAACTCTCTGGTTCGGCTTTCGAAGCCTGTAATGCATTATAGGTGCTTGTTCGTTGCTATCGGATGTCGTTTTCGTTCTTGGCACAGCGAATACCGTAACAACTATAAAGGAGCCGTCGCACCCTGAGGGTGCTGGCGGTGAGGTGAGAAATGAGCTGGTTAAATATTAGGCAATTTTGAGTTACGTGCCATAAAATTTATGAGATAAATAATAGAACTTGGCATTTATGAGATTCGCTTAGACGGTCCGTAAAATTTGTGTAACAATTCAGTAGTACAGATATTTATGAACGACATTAATTTGTTTAGAACCGTGTTGGTATGGCTTGCTACGTCCACATGTTTGCAACGACTCTTTTCCTGTTGGCACTTATATCATCGATTGGCTCGGCTTATCTGTTAATGACTTCGCCTAGAGGACGAGAGGGGTGTTGCACCACCAGAAAACAGCTCATACAACAGCATGGGTTAGTTCCTTTTTTGTTATACACCCAACGTTACATATTGTGGTAATACTAGCACTCCTTTCACTTGATTCGTTTTTTGGCATCCTCCATGCACGAAGGTGTTCGAACTTTTGTGAATGGAGTCGGCTGGCGCTCGGGGATTTCTGTCTCCCTCATGAATTTCGTTCAACGCTGATCATGTCGACTATTCTTGAGATTCTGTAATAGACGTGCCAAGTTGTATCAACATCTTCATCATGGAAAGTCCGATCTCGGAATGATCGGGCTAGTGATGAGAAAGTGATAGGGATGGTCCCAATGCTGTGTCGAACCAGATTCTTGCGTATGTAGAGTGGCCTCACTACCACTGCACGCTCCACAAAGTAATATTTATCAACGAAACTCATCAGAGTTCCCACCGCCATCAGATAAACTTCTTCAATTCGTCCTTTTAATATAACTATTCTTCTGCTTAATTTCCGTGTTTTGAAAAACACCGTCCTTCTGTGCTTCTTTTAGTTTTTTCTTATTCGTTTATTAGGTAACTGCAAGAGATTTGCGGCTTTCTCCTCATTATGATAAATTAGGGGAACAAACGGAACACAGTTTATCATGGAACCGCTGCAGTCCTACGGCTACGGATTAATCTATAACTTTTTGTTATTGGCCAATGCGATGTCGCCTGTATATTTTTTCTAGTTTATGGGTATGTTGATAGTTTTTATGCTTACCATAGTATGAGAGGGTCATCTTGACAAATCATAAATGTCCTTTCCCCTGTATGAAGTAAATGATGCTCAAAATAAACAATCTACCTTTATGTCTTGCTACCTTAAGAAAAGCTCTTAATATTCTATTCAATTCTTAGTAAGCTAACGAAGTTGCGCAGAAATCTAGCATACCCTAAGAGAAGTGAGATGGTTCACAGAGCACTTTCAAGAATGAATTCGTATTGAAGCACCAGGGTTTACGGTATGTTCTGGCTCCATGAAAAAAACTTTTTACAATAGGGATATATGTTGAACTTCACCTTGGAATGCCAGACTTAAGTGATTCACTAAGTAAAAAAAACGAACTCTATTGATGCTCAACAAAATATGACTGCTGACATGAATCCAAACGGGAGACATTGTCATATTGTCTTGCTAATGTCACATAGGACATAGGACATACGATTGAGATTCGTTGAAGAGCACAGCGAATCATACGTTGATGTGTAGACTTTCACGAGGCGCTGGATAATAATGGGTGTATGCCATGGCATCAAATCCTTGAAGGTATTGATTGATGGGAAGTAATGATGCCAACTAACACGGGCAAGGACTTAGGTCGAGTCTGCAACGAACGTATTCTTTTAAGGTTGCTGAACAAGTTCGAGACTTCTCTGAGATCAGTTCACTTCCTTTAATCCCCAAAAAGCCACCGATACTTGTAATGAAAGTCCGGGGACGCTCTAGCACGGCGATTCTAAGATTCTGTGGAGAATCGACTCGACGAGCATTCAAAAATTTCTATGAAGGAAACAAAATCTTCGGCAAGCAAGTGAACGCTATTAAAACTCAAAAGACCTTCATGTATGAGGAACAAATATCCTCAATCAGTAGCTGAACCTTATGTAGGTGATAGGTATGACGAGGCGAATCATGTGGGAGAAGTGCTCGGATCCACACAGTAAGTGATTCGGAGTCGTTAAAATAAAAAAAATCGATTCGAGAAAAAGTCTAGGATGTGCCACTAAAAGAATCTTTGACTCTGCTTGAAAATAAAACCAATAACCGATTGATTCAGACGGCATTATGATGAGCGCACGATGCTTGGTTGCAGCGGTAAGCCTTGTCGGCCAATTGTCGTCATCGAAGACAACATTCTATAGTAGTGCATGATGTCATCACTTTCGTCTCACGTCGGCTTCTGTTCCAGTTTTTCTAGTGTCTTAGCAGTTCTTATCTTGTTTTTAATTTGTTTATATAATCTTGATCTTCTTGCTCAGTCTTTAGTTTTTGTGTCTAGTCACAACTAATACAAAGGGACCAGCATAACTGTCTCCGTTTACCCAAAGACATAGCTTCAAGTAGGGAATCGAACCACGATATAACTTTGCCTTTTTTGAACAAAACATTTTTTCTATCAGAGAACTAATGTAATTTATTACTGTTGTCTATATAGACAAAAGAAAAAGGATAAAGCGTCCATCGCTGTTCAATACCTGATAGATGTGCCGTGCATTCAGCTCTACTTGTAGCATCGTAGAGGTCATTGAATGATTATTTGTCCCATATAGTGAGTTGCGACGGTCCAGTGATGCATCATACTGATGTTCATATCTCTCCAAGGAAACTTGATATTAAATTTTTAACCCATTGGTAATGAAGACATGGTTTGGAGAAGGCGCAGGTTCGAAACAACAATCACGACTGAGTTACAGGGAACCTTTAACCATTGCGCTTTGACGAACCCTCCGTTGTTTTTGAGCTATCTTGTAAACAAACTATTCCTTCTTTCCTCTCGATAAATTGGTTTGAATCTCTTTCCTATGATTAATTTTGACAAGTGCTCTTCGGAATTCATGACTTACTGTTCGATTTTATCGATAGATATCAAATTGTGTGCTGCAGCTTAAAGATTATGACGAGGAATGATAATTCAAGCTGTGAAAAAATTCGAAGGTGACATCAGTAGGTGTGGTGCTTCATTTTTTCTAATCGAATACTTCAGTGATGTAGAGCTCCAGAAGAGGAGAAAACCGAAGCATGACTGCACTGCAACACATAACGGTTGGTAGTAAATGCGAGTTGCAAAAGAACCTTAGGGGGAACATCTACATTTGTATAGGCTTATTACAAACAGCACGAAAACGAACTATTTGAAAAAGTTCCGGCGGGATCTGTACAAGTATTTACAATGTTCCGCTATCAGCACAGGTGAACGAGGATAGGATCGCCAGAACTCCTCGCCATGACATGAAATTGATAACGTAAAAGCTATAAATCAAACTTTTCCTTCCCACGATTTCCGTTCTAGACACTAAGAACACCGCTGAAGAAAACTACATCACAGTACGACAAACTCTAAAGGGTTTTAAAACTACAAACAGGGTCAAACGTCACTAAGTTTGAATCAAAGTAACAAGGTTAGAGCTTGTCGTGAAGATCATATCGTTCAGAGCTCATCGATAGTACAGATACATTTGGAGCCATTCTTCACGCGAGCCACTATTTTCAATTCCGAACTCAACTCAATTTTTTTTAATATAGTAATGGTTTGTGACGAAATTTCGTCAGTTTTGACATTCATCCAATCACCACCGATCAAGTCGACTTGTAAAGGATTCTAGTACATCACTTGAACATCCTACATCAACAACCTCAACGTCGAAAGAAACAGTGCCGCTAGCATGAATTAATCATCCACTATTATTATCATAATTGTCTTCATTTATATCTATAGAAAGGGCATTGAGGGATGGGCTTTTTTCCATAAATGGAACTATTTGTTAGGAAACTCTACTTATACCTATTTTTCGTTCCATTTTGTTCACAGTCATCGTTTGAGACGTGATTTTGAAGAAAAGGCCAAACCGAGTGATTTTTCGAAACCGACTTTCCTTGAACCTCAGTATGACTAATCAATATGTATTCTTTCTCTGATGAGCTTACACGAGGTTGATAATTACATTTATTTTCGGCTAACATTTCGACGTCTTCGTTTTCATCAGAGTCGATGATCCGAGTCGATGGTCCACGCATGTTATTCGTCTCGAAGTGGCAGCTTCGGCTTCGTGTCGAACCTCAGCTAGCCATCTCTTCGAATGAGGCATACTCACTCGACGATGCCCTTTTATGCGGGTTGCTGATGGTGATTAGCTGTGATTGTTCGGTTATAGTGTGATAGTAACTTGTTTCTTCCGGACAATCAAACCTGCAGAACTTGGTGTTGTTATCAGCTAGCACAAAGACGTCGAAACGTTAGCCGAAAATAAATATAATTATCAACCTCGTGTAAGCTCATCAAAGAAAGAATACATATTGAGTGATTTTTGTTAAAATTCGATATGCCACTGAAAGGAGGGGTGTAGGGCAATTAGGGAGACTTTCAACGTGTTTGCATAGCTTTCTTTAATGAGCTGACATAAAGCATAAGGAATGCAGTATGCGGCATTGATCAATCTCTGAGGGATGCGTCATGCACTCGAGTTTATCAAGCATCACAGAAAAGATTGAAGGCATTTGTGGTCTACGCAATGACTTGCTGTGGTCCACCGATGTATGAAGTTAGTGTTGCAATCCTTCTAGATCCCAGACAAGCCTGCTCCTAAATCACTGACCCAAGAAAAATGGAAAACTTGGAGCCCGGGGCAAAGCATCATGCCAGAGATCGATCTAGTATATTGAAGAGCGTCCCTAACCATTGCGCTACCCATGCAACAACTTACACTGGAAGAAAAACACAATGTAAAAGGAATTGCAGATAAAGTCACACTACACTACCGTTTCACAATCTTTTGAGCTCTCTTGTAGCAGACTTCCCGACTTCCTCAGTTCGTATTTTTGGTACCATACTTCTACTTTAGTACTCAGCACTTTTTGCTTGCCAATGCATATTGAAATAAAAGTATAGGCTATGTACCGTGAAAAGGATTTTCTATGGCTGGATTTTTTGACTAGTGTCCCTCTAGGATCCACGGCTTTGAAATGCTTCATGCAAAGCGTCGCTATTTCAGGACCCTCTTTAAAAAATAGAGATTCATAGGCGAATGCAGGTATCTCCAGGAGTTGCTTCCTATAGCTATGCGAGGAAGTTGTTCCCACGTGTTGAAAACAGAGTGCAGCGGTCCCTTCACCCAGGAAAGCCAGCCAACTTAATGCCAGAAACACCAAGAAAAGTGTAGTGAACCTACAGAAGATACAAGTAGTTGTGTTAATTATAACACATTTTTGACAGAAAAGAAAAACTCATTATAAAAGCCCAACTGTTATTTACCCGTTATTGTTTTTTTTATTGCAGGGTATTACGTGGAATGCAACCACATGAATGCCTTAGACAGGAGCGAAATTCGACACCTCACTTGTGCTTCGAACCTGCCAATACCGTTTTCGTAGACTTATGTGCTGTCCAGTACAGCACCCTAAGCCCTTGGTTTGCTTTCTTCTCAGCCAACTATGTTTTCCAGTGCAGTTTTGGCTTAAGTGGGTTCAGTGCTTATCGATTTGTTCCCCAGCTCATTCTCGTTGAGTAGTAAATGCTACTAGCTCCGTTGGCATAAAAATTTGGCTGAGCGAAAGGGAAAGCAAGAGCTTCACTTTGTGTGATGGATAGCACGTAACACCCCGCAATGGCTAACCGCGGCTTCCAAGCTTTCCCAAGGTTCCGAATTTTGCTCATATTTAATCATCCTTGTGGATCTCCTTTTGCACAAGATACTTCTCAGTTTTCTTTCATTGCATCTCCTTCGAAGAACTTTCATTTTTTGTGGACGTCTTGAAAATATCTGGACCAGTTGTTTATTCATGCTCTTTTTCAACTCTGTGGTTCGACGCTCATTAAA